TCAACTTCATAACAAAAAACATAAAGTGGGACAAGTAAACACAGTCCTAACCGATCATAGCTGGAAGATATACTAAGCAACACAGACCTAACTTATGCCTAAGAACAGATTAATCGGTTGGCACTCGATGTATGCACAAGGCTTATTCCTCTAAGAAAAAGAAGGAGTAGATGTAAAATAGAAAAGAGACAGGCGCTCCCTTTACAGGCGACGGAAAGATACAGAGCGGCTAAAAAGAGGTCAATATAAATTCTTTCATGAAATGCGCATGGGACACTGGTCAGAGAAATAGCCAAGCATCGAATTAAAGTAAAAGAATACTTTAGGAGTCAGGAATGCGGTGGAAGAAAACTAAAAGCCATAATGAAATCGAAAGAAACCCAAAGTATTTCTTCTCCTATGCCAATCAAAATCGAGAACAAACGTCCGTATTGGGCCCCTACTTTAAACAAGATGGGTCCTACACAGATGAAACAAGGAAAATGAGTGAGCCTACTCTCAAGTCACAAGATGACTAGTTTTTAGCAAGCCGTACCAGAGACTGAGAGTCGAAGATCCAAAATGAATTTTTATGAGACGAGCCACAAACCCCCTCCCCCCTCCTCCCCTTATTAACAACACTACCCCCCCCCCCCCCCCCACCCCCGCCTACCGATGTTATCCTGATGCCAAATTACTTCGAACAGGCGATAAAATGACATGCCAAGCACTCTGCCCCAGGGCCAGGACTCATGGAACTCTGTGTTCATCCAGATCTGCAAGAAGCCCCTAACACGAGCCTTTTCCATCCTATGGAGAGGGAGCTATGGACACGGGGGGTTTTCGTCCCTTCAGTTACTAAAAACAACAGACATAGCCCCACTCCACAAAGGGGGCAGTAAAGCAGACAGCAAAGAAACTACAGACCAATGCACTAACATCCCATATCATAAAAATCTTTGAAGGGGTCCTAAGAAGAAGATCACCACCCATCTGAAGCCCAATCAGTTACACAACCCAGGGAACATGGTTTTAGAACAGGTCGCTCCTGTCTGTCTCAACTACTGGATCACTCGACAAGGTCCCTAAAATGCACTAGAAAAGACAAAAAAGAAAGCGATGTAATATATACAGGACTTTGCAAAAGCTTCGACAAGTGGTGACCATGGCTCGTTAAATAGCGCACAAAATGCGCGCGCTAAAGAATACAGGAAAAATCGGTCGATGGATCTATATTTCCTCACTAACAGAACTAGAGAGTAGTCGATCAACAGAGTAAAGTCCGAGGCAGAGCTACGGTGGAAAAGGCTCAGTTCCACAAGGGCACAGTACTCGCTCCCAATACTTGTTCCTCATCCTCATATCCGACATAGACAAGGATATGTCAGCCACAGCACGAGTCTTCCTTTGCAGAGGACACCCGAATCTGGCATGGACAGTGTCTTCCATTGCAGACCACTTGCAAGCTCCAGGCGGACATCAACCAAGTCTTTCAGTGGCTGCAGAAAACAAATATGAAGTCAACGATGAGAAATTTCAATTACTCAGATATGGTAAACATGAGGGAAATTAAATCTTATCAGAGTACAAAACAAATTTATGGCCACAAAATAGAGCGAAAACACCAAACGTCCAAAGACTGTGATAGATTAGTCGGAGGATCTCACTTCAAGGGCCATAACATTGTATCAAATAGCATCCTGCTAGAAAAATGACAGGATGGATAATGAGACTTACAAAAACTAGGGGGCAAGCCCATGATGACACTCTTCAAGGTCTCTTGTTCTATCTAGGCTGGAATATTGCTGACACTCTAACTTCACCTTTCAAGGCAGGTGAAATTGCGACCTAGAAAATGTACAGAGAACTTTTCACGGGTGCATAACGGAGATAAAACCTCAATTACTGGGAGCGCTGAGGTTTCTAAACTGTATTCCTGGAACGCAGGAGGGAGAGATACATGGATTATATACACCTGGAAAATCCTTAGAGGGACTAGTACCGAACTTTGCACACGAAAATCACCTCCACTACGAAAGGCAAGACTTGGCAGGAGATGCACCATTCCCCCAATGAAAAAGCAGGGGGTGTCACTAGCACGTTTAATGAGGACCATACAATAAGTGTCAGGGGCCGAGACTGTTCAAACTGCCTCCCAGCACACATAAGGGGGATGATTACCAACAGACCTCCTGGCAGTCTTCAAGCTGGCACTGGACAAGCACTAAAGTCAGTTTCCTGTTTCGGCCGGGCTGTGGCTCGTACGCTTGGTTTGCGTGCAGCCAGCAGCAATCAGCCTGGTTGATTAGGCGCTGATCAACCAGGAGGCCTGGTCACAGGACCGGGCCGCGGGGCGTTGACCCCCGAAACTCTCTCCAGGTAAACTCCAGTGTAAACTACTAACACTCTACAACTATTACTATCTACCACCTCTACCACTATCTCTCCTCCTTCTGTCTATTTACATCTATTGTCCCGTCCTCTCTGCTGCCTATATATACTCCCTCCCTATCTCTCTTTCTGTTAGTATGACTTGTAAATGGTCCAAGTCGGACTGTAACGTCGTCGTAAGCTCCCTCTCTCATATGTGCGGATTGTTTATGTATGTACCTAGTCATGTTGTTGTCTTGCGTTTCCTTCCAGATTCTGGACACAAACGCTCCACCAGTGTCGTCCAAACCTCTGTTCTGAATTGGCTAACAGTTGACTTTACTAGGCTCAAATTATCGGCGCGATCTGTCTAATACTCCAAAACAATACTTGCCACATTCCAGTGTGTAATATTCAACATGAATTTCAGCAGTAAATCATGAAACTTAAGGGTGATTATTGGGCCAAACCACATTCACTCACCAAAGCACAATGTAGGTTCCCCCCCCCCCAAAAAAATAGCCTTACAGAACAGAACAACAGCTGTTGTATATAATCAAGAGAGTGTTGAGGGTAACACCACAGCTGGATGTTGCCATAAGTCCGGTAGCAACTTCTGAAAAGCAAGAAAAGAACCCAAAACTACATTATAATTAAGGCAGAGACTAAGGACAATGAGAAAATCCAATTTTATTCCTGTCCCCTAATAATTTGCACGCTACTGTAAGGTATGTAAACGTAATATGTAATATTTAATATGTATGATATAGAAAAATATTATGTGTTTCAGCGAGCATCAATAATTCCATCGTTGATGAGCAACTTCATTAAGCTTAAGAACATAAGAAAGAAGGAACACTGCAGCAGGCCTACTGGCCCATGCGAAGGAAGGTTCAAGTCTCCTTGTCATGTAGGGGGTTTTTGGGAATATAAGGGATAATTGGGGAATATGGGAGTAAGGGATTATGTAGGCAGGGGAGAGGCAGGCGAGGTCGGTAGAGTGAGGTATGATTAGCGGAGGTAGGTAATGTAAGGTTACTGGTGATTACAATCGCTCTCATTACTCTACCCACCACACTACTCACCCTCTCACTACTTGAAATAAAATAATGGAATGAGTAATTAACGGGGACAAGTGAATTTTACTATTCTACTCAACACAGTTTATTATTAAGTCCTTGTAAATTAATTTATTTGGGAAACAGGAGAACATTATATGTGGTTTAGATAATGGGGGGGGTACACATAGCAGTGTGACGGGGAAATACAATCACTTGACGAAAATTAATATAACTTACAATATGGTTCAGAGGACAGTTCATCACAGGTTCCCAAGGACCTACACCAGCACGAGTACTGCGCCAAGCCAGTACTCTGCCCCAATTGCCTCCAAACAGTCTCCTCCAGAGACTCTCCGCCTCAGCTCTGTCACAGGCTGGAGCTCTGCTCGACTCTCCAGCAGCCTTCTTCCTCCCGCTCAGAGCTCTGCACCCAGGCCAGGCTCACACGAATCTCTCTGCTCAGCTGTTCCTTGGGTTATATGGTGAGGTCCAAGCACTCTTCACAACCACGTGTACGACCCCTGACGCCTGGATCTGAGGCCAGACGAACAAAGGAGCTGATTTACATAAGCCAAAAAGCGTGGATCCTGACAGACATTTGCAAGGCAAGGTTGACCATTATAATTGGTTAAATTAGGTCTCTCAGAGACATCACAAGCCCAGCTGAACCACATCACATCCCCCTTTCTCCCCCAATTTAAAATTATTCTGAGAACTAGGACAATTTGTCCTAGTTAGTTATTAGACTATTGTAATCCTAACCCCTTAAATCTATTACAATACAAAGACAAAATTATACTATACAAAAATTATTATTCACTACATATATTCCCATCAGCCTTCTAAACTACCACAAGGGCAGCATAATCAGTACACCTGGCAGTTGACCTGCATAACAGTTGATCTCGGGTGGCAAGCCTCCTTACCTGTCATTTCTCCTTAAACCTAAATATCCGGGGCTCCAGTGCCTTTCCCTACTTCTACTGAAATGCACTAGCCAAAGCTAGTCACCCTCGCATGTTTAACCATTTTGGGCCAACCTCTCTAGGCTTCTTTGGAGTGGAAAAACTGCTCCAACGGTTTGATTCTTTAAGTAACTGCCAACTGGACCACTTCACGACACCAAGGTTGCATATTTTCAGCACACTTCACATGGCGCACTACAACATCTGAAAATCGAGACAGGGCAGGCAACGCAGCTAAGACTCTCCATTATCCTATGCACTACTAGGGATTCACTGGCCTCATAAAACAAGGGCGGCCATAATCACTGGACCTTTTTCAAGGGTTCACCTTATTTCACACAGGTAACACTAACACTTCTGGCAAGTCAAGTAGGCTGGGGAACATCTCAACCCTTATCTGTCTCTCATGGAAGGCAGGCATCCCCGCATCCGGTCGTACAGGTCGACCTGCAAGGTAGGATACACCTCCATACCGTCCTGATAACAGGCTCTCTTATCCTGCACTCCAGCCAGAATCCCTCACCCCCCCCCCCCCCCCCACAAAAACCACCCTGCACGCACCACCGCCATCTCCTCCTCTTGAGCTAGGCTGCATTGCAAGCATCCCCCACAGCACGGCCACAGCATGCCATCATCACAGCACGGCCGTATCACTGCAGCACACAGCCGTCCACATCATCGCAGCACGGCTACAGCTTCGCAGCACGGTCCCAGCATCTCTGCATACAGCACGGCCGCAGTCATCTCAACAATCACAGCACGGCCCGCAGCATCTCAACTATCACAGCACGGCTCCGTATCACAGCAGCACACAAAACACGGCACAGCATTCGCAGCACGGCTACAGATCTCAGGCCACGGCCACAGTGTCATCGCAGCACGGCTACAGGCATCTCAGCCACGGCCACAGATTCGCCTCCACGGCTACAATATCGCGACAGCATCACAGCAGTCGACATCAGCAGTAGCAGGGCTTGGCAAATGCTCGAGGTGAGGTGAGGTCACTTCAGATCATCAACAGCAGGTGCGGTCACCCTCCCTGGCAAACTGCGGGGTAAACTGGCGGTCCGTGGGTGAATGGTCACAGAAGGGGCTGGGTGACGCAGACAGACAACCACTACAATGGATGACAGGACCAGGGCAGCAATACATCTAATGGGGCACATCAGCTGGTGTGACTGGGCACATTCAAGGCGTTGCTGGGTGTGACTTCCTTCATTCTTCGGTAAAGTATTCAATTTCCGCCAGTAATTATTTCCCCAAGAGTCTCACCCAAAACCTTCACACCTTCCACCAATTGAGGTTGGAGAGTTGAAGGAGGAGGTCTTGCTTCTCCAGGAGGAGATAGGAGGCTGAAGGTACCACCTCAATGGGTCTGGGAAGAGAGTGTGAGGTGGCTGGAGTTGTGGGGATGAGGCTTTAGCAGTGAGGTGCAGTCTGTCTCTCGCTTGTGAGGAGGCTTGTAGGTGGGGGGTAGCAACGGCTACCAGCAGTGAGGTGCAGTCCAGCACCTGCTACAAGTGGCGAGTGGTTTCCCATAATGGCGAGGAGAATCAGAATAAGGAAAGTTAAGAGTGAAGTCTGAAGGTAGGAAAATCGATTCTCTGTTCTTCAGGTGAATGTTTTTCAGTGGCCTGTGAAGGTTAAGGGTACTCTACCCTGCTAAAGAGGTAAGCGCATTCTTGTGGTTGGTGACTCTCAGGTAAGTATATTGACCGTTGCTTTTTGTAACAGATAAGAAGATGAGAGATAGAGTGAGCTTCCCTGGAGCTGGTGTTGGGGACATAGTTAATCAGCTGGGATAATATCATGTCAGGTAATGAGAACAAGCCCATATCTGTCTCAGTGCTGGTGGAAATGATATTGGGATCGGGTAGGAGAGAAGAGCTGCTAGTATTAGTACAGGTCAGCTTAGATTTCTTGAAAGTCTAAGGGAGGGGTCCATCATAAGTAGCATCTTGCTCGAAGGGGAGTAGGAAAATGAATGGTTGTTAGGGCAAATTGGGTTGTAAATTATGGCTAGACATGATACTGCAAGAAAACTTGCAATTCCCATTCATTGACAATGGAACAACTTTTATGGCAAACATGATATGTATGCAAGGATGGGGGTTACATCTTTGGGACTGGGGTGGAAGCACTTGCAAACTCTATTAGAAGGGTCATTGGTTGAAAATGTCTTGATTTTTCAAATGATAGTAAGATAGGGGTTTATGGTGTGTGTGTGGGGAACAAGCAGAGGTCAGCAAGGGACTAGTCCCTTAGGTTACTATACTATTAGCCAGGAGTGTAAGAAATTGGCTAGATGAGCTAAGATTAACTGCAAGTGCAGGAAACATAGATAGTTATTGCTATAACAGAGACCTGGCTCAATCTGAAAGATAGAGAGATAACCTCTGAATGTCACATTCAAGGCTATAAAATTATTCCTCACTGACAGGGTCAACAGGAAAGGGTGGTGGTGTAGCGTGTATGTCAGAGACAAATTTAAAATTGTTGTGTTAGACAAGATATAAAACTAGAAGCGTCAGCCACTGGAATCATCTGGTTTGGTTACAGCTTCTCGGAGGCCGAGTAAAAACTAATTTTGGTATGTGTGATTTACAGGGCCCACAAATCTTGATTGGGAGTGCAGTTAACTTCTATGGACGAAATCAGTAAGCATCTACATACGAAAATGTTGTGCTAATGGGAGATTTCAAACTTTAGACAGATTGAATGGAGCAATTTGACAGGAAATTTAGAGTCAGGTGAACTTCTTGATCGATCCAGGATTGTTTTTTAAAAAGTTTGTGACAGAGCCTAACTTAGGGGAATATTTCCTCCTTGACTTGGTTTTACCAGTAGGGAAAACACTAATTAATAATCTTGAGGTTAATGATGAGCTTGGGAAGGAAAGTGATCACAAATCACTCAGTTTTAATATATCATGGAATTCCCCTAATAAGGCAATCAAGTCTCTGTACCTGACTTTCGTTGGTGATTTCATAGGACTGAAAAATTACTTAGGTTGGGCTGAATTGGAATGGACCTGACTAAGGGTCAGGTAGTGGTGATGGTTGCCGATTATGACGCTTTCCCAGGGCATAGGTTCTAACTGCTCAGTCAAAATTATGTTCCAAATAGGGAAATCAGTCAAACAAAAAATGATTCCTAAAATGGATGAACAATAGATTCAAATATCTGATTGGTCAAAAGAGAGGCATATATAGGGCAAATCAAAAAGAGGAGAAGGGGCAATTAAGAAATCGAAATTCTCAGTTAAGAGAGAAATAAAAAGGGAATAGAAAGAAAAAAGAGATTATGAGGTTAAGTTGCAAGACAATCGAAAGACTAACCCAAAAGTGATTTTTTCAGGTATATGATGTAAGATCAGGGACTAAGATAGGCCACTCAAAGTTCCTCGGGTCAGGTCACCGACAGTGATTAGGAAATGTGTAGAATTTTTAACACATACTTCTCTCAGTTTTTACACAGGGAGGATACAGCGATATTCCAGAAATGATAAAATTATGTAGAACAGGACGATAATAAACTGTGCCACGATTAGGGTCACGAGTGACATGGTCTTTAGGCAAATAGATAAATTAAAACCTAACAAAATCCCCAGGCTCTGATGAACTGTTGCAAGGGTTCTTAAGGAATGTAAAGAGGAGCTTAGCAAACTTTGGCTAATCTTTTCAACATATCATACAAATGGCATTTGGTGGCCAGATAAGTGGAAAATGGCAAAATATGATCTTTTTCAAAGCAGGTGACAGGTCCATAGCTTCGATCTATAACCATTATGCCTAACCTCCATAGTGGGAAAATTTAATGGAATCAATAATTTGCCGAGGCAGTTCGTAGCCACCTTGAAAAGCATAAATTAATTAACGAATTCTCAGCATGGTTTTACAAAGTGGGTCCTGCCTTACGAATTTATTAACTTTTTTCAACTAAAGGCATTGACGGATGTAGATCCATGGTAATGAATATGCAGTATTGTGTTATATGGACCTTTCAGTAAGGCTTTTGGACATGGGTCCCACATCAGAGGACTATTGAGGGAAAATTAAGGCACATGGGAATAGGAGGAGGAATTTTTTCCTGATAGATTCAGAGTGACAATAGGAAGCAGAGAGTTTGCCATACTGAGACGTGGTTTAATAAAAAAAAGTCGGGACATGCCTTGCGGAATGTACATTAGGGTTATAAATTGTTCCAAGAATATTAGAAGTGCTCGGAAGGGGGTGGGGTGGCATTGTATGTCCGAGATCGCTTGAATGTTGCATAAAAACGGTATTAAGTCTGAAGTACACATTTACAGGTCTGTTTGGCTAGAATTTTCAGAGGGGCATGAAAAATTATTTTAGGTGTGATATACAATCCCCCAAACTTAGATGGGACAAGGTGACTACTTGGAGGAAATTGTTTGGGCCCACAAGGCCGATAAAGTAGTAATTTCTAGGAGGACTTTAACTTTGTCATATGATTGGAATTTCTTGACTGGGAATTTAGAACATACGACTTCTTAGAAGTAGTTCAGATTGTTTTTTGAAAGCAGTTTGGGACTGAGCCTACAAGGAGAAAATAACCTGCTTGACTTAGTTTGGCAAAACAATGAATCCTGTTAAATAATTAGAAGTTTCAGAGGAACTGGGTGCTAGCGACCACAAATCAATACCTTTTTAGCATTGAATGGAAGTATGATAGAAGGGATAACTCAGTAACAGTCCCAAGATTTTCGCTTAGCAGATTCGATGGGCTTAAAGAACACTTTTCATCTGTTGATGGGGTAACGAAGAGAGCTATCAGTATGACAGTTTTCGAATATATACATGAGCTCAAAGACGTTTCTATCCCATATAAAGAAATTAGATCAAATAGGAATGACCAAAAATGAGATGACTAATAGACTGAAATATCTACTAGGGCAAAAAGAAAGGAATTTATAGGCGTATTCAAAAGAGGTGGGGTCCATCTTATGAATCAGTATATTGACATTAAGAGGGACATTAAAAAGGGGATGGAGAGTAAAGCTAAAAGGGACTAGAAATTAAAGTTGCTACGGGATTCTAAAATAACCCAAAAAGTTTTTTCCAGGTCTATAGAACAAAAGTTAGAGATAAGATAGGTTCCCTTAAAAATAACTTGGGGCACCTTACTGGACAAAGAGAATGAAATGTGCTCGATTTTTAATAATTATTTTCTCTCAGTTTTTACACAGGAAGACCTAACAATATTCCTGTTAATTAATTTTTATAGTGGGCTAGAAGAAAGATAAATTATGTAAACATCACAGTCACTAGTGAAATGGTTGTGAAGCAGATAGGACAGACTGAAGCAAAATAAGTCACGGGTCTGATGAGGTTTTTTCAAGGGGTTCTTGAAAAGAATGCAAATGGAACTCTGTGAACCATTTAACTATATTTTTAATTTATCTCTTCAAAAACAGGTGTATGTCGTCAGATATGTGGAAGTTGGCTAATGTAATTCCTATTTTTAAAAACAGGGGACATGTCGTTACCCGTCAAATTACCGCCAAATAAGGCATGACCTCAATTGTTAGGCAAATTACTTGAGTCAATTAATAGCTGAGCTTATAAGAAGCCATCTCGATAAGATAGCTTGATTAAATGATACTCAGCATGGATTCACAAGAGGCCGGTCTTGTCTAACTAATTTATTAACTTTTTCAGGCAAAGTTTTGAGGCTGTTGACCTCGATAAAGAATTTGATTTTATTTACTTAGATTTTAGTAAGGCTTTTGATAGAGTCCGCACCATAGCCTGGTTAAAGAAGAAGTGGCAGCTCATTCATTGGACACACAGCTCCATCGACGAACGATCTCGCGCCTCTCTAAATTACCCGAGTTGAGTGTGACTATCCTCCAGAGTGGTGCGCTTTCTAAACCTTCGTCTTCCACCTTCAGGATTGGTGCGTCGGTTGGTTGCCTACCCAAGGGCAGGAAGACTCCCTCTGCATCCTGTTGCTATCTGTAGCCTCCACGCTCCAGACTGTCGTGTAGTCTACACGCTATAAAGTCCAGTGTCTGCCTCTCCTCACCGTTGTCTGAAGTCTCCACGCCTCAGCCTGATGTGAAAGTACTGCTCGCATTCAGCTAGTGTTGGCTCTCCTCATCGCTCACAGCCTGAGTTGCTCGCTTCACCGAGTTGTGGTTACTGGGACCTTCGTCTTCACCATCAGGATTGGTGCGTCGGTGGCTGCCTACCCTAGGCGGCAGGAAGCTTCCCTCTGCACTCCTGTTTGCTGTCTGAAGTCTCCACGCCTCTGCCTGTATGTGTGGTCTGCACGCCTTTCAGCCAGTTCAGGGCATACAGTGCTCCATCAAGCTACAGTCACCTCCTCAGTGTCCTGTGCCTCCAGAGACGGACTCCCACAAGAAAATTTTAAAGTTATTAACCAGGCAGTAGTGTGTCTACTCAACGATTACTAGCCAATTTGTCTCACAGGATTGGCCCCCACATCTAATTTACGTGCCTGCAATGCCTTTCCACCTCCTTTCCCCTTACCACTCCTCTACTGCCAACACCTGCCTCTACTCTGTCTACTCCTGCTTCTAAGGCCTACCCTGCCCCCACCTCTTCCAAGCCCAATTCTTTCTCGCTTAACCTCAAATACTCTAAATCTGATCATGCCACTATCTGTCCTGGAGATTTACTGTACCAGATCACTGGCGATCCTCAGCATAAAGTCTTTAAAACCAACTCTGGATTCAAACTACTTCTTGACAGACATTCTTACGAAACGTACACCTCAACCGAGACCAGACAAAAACTTCTCAATGCAGGCTTCACTATTATTTGGACTCCTGACTGCCTATGACACAGACAAAGAAGACTTAATCAAAGACATTAGTACTAAGAACAAAGTCTCTGTTGACGATATTTATAGACCTGAAAACTCTACCATCCTCAAAATACACTGTTCAACTCCTTCTGACGCCTCTACACTCTTCAATCAAGGAATTCTTGCCAAGACCATCCGCATTCCTCCAAACACCCTCTTCACTCCAAACTTTCACCCCATCACACAATGTCTGAAATGCTACAAATTCGGCCACGACAAAATCTCATGCACTTCCACACAAACCTGATCCAGATGTTCAGCAACTGGCCACTTCTGGAACACTTGCAACCTCCCCCTTAAATGTTCTAACTGCGGTGGGTCACACACTGCAGTTGCAAATTCCTGCCCTACTAGAAAAGACATTCTCTCCACCCTCAGAGAAAGCCAACCTCCCTCCCTCCCCAACCCCTTCCCTGCACCTCCCCCTCCTACAATACCTTCCACCCCTACCCCCAATGCCTGGGTTACCCCATGCACTTGGTCTACCCCTCCTACTCTACACACTTCAAACACCAACACACAGACTACAATCACCTCTCCTTCTACAAACCCACACCACACTAGACTACAAAACTAACTGCCAACTCGCCACTGCTGCCCACTCTGCGATGTTAATCTCTCAAGCCTACCAATCAGACTACTCACATGTCCTTAACCTAATCTTGTCTGCTAACAATCTTCCCTCTTTAATTATCCCTCCTTCCTGCTTCTCTTCTAAGCCCCCTACAACCTCTACCTCCTCCCTCTCTCCCACCCCCCCACTTCCTCTGCTCAGCTGTTCCTTGGGCTTATATGGTGGTCCAAGCACCCTCCACAACCATGTGTACGACCTGACGCCTGGATCTGACGCCAATGACGAACAAAGGAGCTGATACATAAGCCGAAAAGGCGTGTCTCTGACAGATATTTGCCAAGGCAAGGTGACCATATAATTGGTTAAATTAGGTCTCCCAAGAGACCTCATAACCCAGCTGAACTACATCACATC